GTCTTAAAGGTGGGTCTAGTGCAGCTTCTGGAGCTGGGAATTGAACCGCGGTCCTATGTGCCTGACTGCATTTTCTAACTGCAATTTGGAATCAGGCTCTGCCTTCATTTATTTTCCCCACCAAACCTGCTATAGATTGGTGATGAAAAAAGAGATTTTTTAATGTGGATAGAAGTTTTGATGGAATAAAGAGTGTTACTGTAATTTGATTCAATCAATTATATGTTTTATGCTAAGTATTAAGACCAAATTAATGCATTAATATTACTTTGTTTTAATTATATTTATTTAAATTGTTACCTGACACTTAAGGTAATTGGTGCTGTTTTTCTATTTATGCTGTGATTTTAAAATACTTTTAGTGAAATGCAAGAGTTAAAGGAAAATGTTGAGTAAATTTTCATGTAGGATAGCAGCATTCCAAAAATGGTATATGATTGATAAAAGCTTTGGAAACTCTGGTTAATAACATCATTTAAGAAGTCATTAAAATATTTATGACCCAGGAGAATACTTTTCTTTCATTACTCAAAGGATTGCTTCATACAGCTGCCTCTAACTGTATTCTGGGTCCAAAGAACAGTTCCTACTACCCTGAGGAAACCCTGGAGTGGGGAAATTGCTTGGCTGGAAGATATGGTTTGTATTACTATTAACCTTTCTACTTAACTAGCTTTGTGATCTTGTACAAGTCACAACCTCTCTAAGCTATAATTTTATCCATAAAATTGCACTAAAAATACACTTTATCTCATCAAGATGTGAAAATGAAATAAAATAATATGAAAATGGCTTGTAAATGCTGAAACATAGTATAAAATATTAATTGTTGGTATTTTAAAAGTATAATACATGCTACCCTCTTCAGCGGTTCTGAAGACACAATTCTCTTGATTAACAGATAAAAATTGTCTTAAGCCACCCAGATAATTTGCTTTGGAATCATAAATATTATCATGTAGTTCTTTTAAAAATGGCTTGACAAACAAAAATATTTCAGGTCTGAAACAAAGAATTGGATGGGCCAAGCCAAAAAAAATGATGTCAAAAGTTTGTTTTAAAACAAGGAGTGAAGATTTGCTATAGAGTAAATAAATTTAGGCTCAAACAGAGAAAGAATAAGATAAAAAGTACTGAAAGTGATAGATGCAAGGCAGGATATCCTGAGGAGTCACAATAGTAAGCTCCTTGTGGTGTCTTGTTTCTTTTATGCTGTCCACATCTGGTGGGAGCTAGTCAGAAATTCTACATAAGGGGTCCTCAGAATATTTTGGCCTTACCCTGGCATCTTGAAACAGACAGATCCAACCCACTGCTTCTCTATTGCTGTCCTGGGATCTTATAATTGGCAGGTCCTCCTTTTGCCAGCTAGCTTTGCCATGACTTAGCCATGTCCTACCTCCCATATCAGTAAAGAGGTAATATGTAGGAAAAGAGTGTGAAAGAGAAAATAACTAAATTGTACTGAGAATATATGTCTTTGCTGATTGTTCTTTCCTACCCCCTCCTCCTAGGAGTTGATATGGCATTGTGATAAACACAAATTCTTTGTTTTCATTTGAACTTTGTTGCTTATCATCAAATGTCAGTGAAAATATTGATTGTTCAGAAGTCACATTATTGCTCTATGTGTATGTGTGTGTGTGTGTGTGTGTGTGTGTGTGTGTGTGTGTGTGTGTGTCTGGCTCAGCCCACCCTGGAGGTGGGGCTGGTGCATCATGTAGTGTTGGGGATTGAACCACAGTTGCATCTAAGCTTGCCTAAGCAAGCGTTTTAGACTGCTGAGCTATCTCACCAGCCTTGCATTACTTTCTAATCTAGCATTGTTATGGTGGCTCAAGATTTCTGAGTTTAGACACTATATATATTTAGACTATATATATATATATATGTGTGTATATATATATATATATATATATATATATATATAGTGTTTGAAAAACTGAGACTCTGTTCTCTCACAATGCACATTATCTGAATGATCACTTGTAGATTTAGGTAAAAAACTCAATTGTCTACCAGAAAATCCTGATGTTGGTCAAATGAAAAAAAAAAAGAATGTGAATGTAGTATGGCTATAGTGGTGGAGCCAATGCTGAAAGCCCCTTGTTTCTAGTTAGATCTGCCACTTCATCATGCAGATCCTTATTTCTCCTCTGTAAAATAAAGGAATTAAGAATCTCGTCAATAGTTGGTGTCCAAGGTCTCTTCCTTCAGTAAGATCATATGATTCTGTGGGACAGCTTATAAATTGCCAAGGAGTTCTTCCCTGAGATTCCTAATGACGTTTTTAGAGACAGAGTAAATGGAAATTGAATGACTGTACTTTTCAACCTCCCTTGGGAAGCACAAGAACAGTGTCTAGGATGGTCTCTGCTTCACAAAAGGAAGAACAAGGATTCTACTCTGTGACATCACAATACCCAGCCCAGCCCCAATCTTATCATCTGAGAAGGGAAACTGACAGAGGTTCAGGGTTGATAGAGCAGAAGTCAAAATCTACCTGAAGAACGTGGAAGGAATTAGTCACCCATGCCTCCAATTCAGGTATGTGACATTTACTAAGCTCAGAATAGAATATGCTCATGTCTAAAAGAAAAGGAGAGGCCCCCAAGCTCAGTGTGTCTCCTGCCTTAGGAAGAATAGTATAAGCACAGATATTGTGTGACAGATATCTTTGGGTAACATTTGCTCCCATGGAGTGGACAGAAGGCCAAAGGCAGTCCCAGCAAAGCAAAGCTGGAGTATGTTCTCCCAATAGACAGCCAGGCTTGTCAGGAAGCACAACCACATGGACATTTCCTAAGCTCTTACTCCCTGCCTTCTCCCCAGGTATGGGGAGCCAGAATGACACAGGTATCTCAAGTGATCAGTGCAAAATTGCTTTCTTAAAGTACTCCTTATTTGTTGTCTCGTAACAAATATTCTCCTAAGTAAGTTTTTAAATAGCTTATCCACAGAATGAAAGAGTAAACCAAGAAAAGGTTTAAGTAAAAGATAGATAGAAGATAGTTAGATAGATAGATAGATAGATAGATAGATAGATAGATAGATAGATAGATAGATGATAGATAGATAGGTAGAAGATAGTACAAGAAATACAAACAAAAGTAGTGAGGAGGAAAAACGTATTGTACATTTAGCAAGCAGACTAACTCTAAGGACTAGTTTTGAAATTTCAAGATTTCATAGACAAAAGGCCACCCCCTATAAACAGTGAAAGGCCTCATGGTTGAGAAATCAAACAGTTCAGCTGGAACCCTCTACAGCTCCTCCCCTTTTAAGGGACTTGTGCCAATGAAATCATCACTGGGGATGTAGGCAGTTCTGTTTTCTTTTCCTTGCCTTGGGGTTTTGGCTTCTAGAATATTTGTTTTTTCCTTGAGTCTTGAGACCCAGAGAGGCTCCAAGTGACAGCAAATAGCTGTTCTGTTTACTAGCTGGGCGGAGCTCAGGGTTGGTGCCAGGCTCTGACTCATCTCTGCTAGTACTCCCTGAGGCTTAGCACATGGCGACCCCAGAGTCAGAGCACAGAATATCTCGGGCAGCCTCCCTGAGCTTTGCCTGCAAGATGAAAATTTGCAGTGCTACACTCTCAGTGGAAGCAGCAGTCCAGTGTCCTGACAGGTAGCTCGGTCAACCACGGGGCACCCAACTGCAACAGACAGGGACGAAGGAGACCAAATATTCATAGGGCACAATTTTAGTGCTCTTTGGCCTCCAACACATCATGAATAAATATATCACAGCAATAAGGTCAATACTCTCACACTCTATAAAAGTAGAAATAACCTGAAGCATGTAAGTCATGGGGAGATCCAGGTAAACACAGTGGGCTGCTTGTACGTAAACTTTATGGTGCATATTCAACTTCAATCTAGAGAAGTTACTATAATTTTACCTTTAGATTATGGTCCAACCTCTTAAGACCTTGAAAATTAAAATCTCATTGGTCCAGTTTTAGACCTCATTCATTTTATAGTCAATGAAAACTAAGTTTAGGCTGAACTTTAAAATAATATCCACAAGACATAGTGTCCTAACTCATCTACATTTATTGAATGTAATGTTCTCTGACTGTTATGACAGTCCTATACCATAGAACTTTTGTGTTTCAGGGAACTAAAAGATTATCCACTCTGATACTGCCATATCCAGAAGAAGAAATCAGGACAGGGTTGTTAAGTGTATTGGTTAAAGATGTCCAACTAATTAGTGTTGAGAACTGAACATTTCTTTAGCATTCTAATTTTTATCCTCGTGGTTTTTCTAATATACTCTACCCTACAGTCATGTTCAATTAATTTATTGCTTCATATTCAAACTAACTTGTTAATTTTTTCAGTTCGAATATTCTAAAATGAGGCTATCACACTTTTTCCCCCTGCTGTGGTTAGTGGTAAATTCAAGTACTCTATGTAGGTGGTACTGGTTACCACAGCCTTCCCAGCCTCTGCAGCTCCAAACAAAATAAACTTCATCTAAAATCAAGACAAGGTACCTACAATATTCAGAAGTCCAAGAATAGAAATTAATCTACAGGAATTGACAAGCTACTGTTCCTTGAAACCTGATTAGTGTCAAGCAAAAAAAGCATTCATGCACCATGCAAGGTTTTTGCTTTGTAGTAAATATACAATCTTGTTATGCCTTTAGCGGTTCAGGTAGACATGCTTTAATTATGAATATATGTGTATATATCTATTTATGTACACATGAGTAAACACTTTGTCTTACACATGAGCAGCTATTACACATCAGCAGTAGCCAGCTTACTCTTCTTAACCTACCATAGCTCCTACCTAGTAGGTACTAATCTTCTCTGACCTATTCATAAATGTATATTTTATTTGGAATCATCTTTAGAACCATGTTTTCTATGCTATATATGTCTTGCATCGCCAATTAATCTGCAAATTTGAACCTCTGCACTTCCTGTACATAAATGCTCATTGGTTTCCCAGTTGAACTCACTATAGATATATTAATGTATGTCTCAAAATGTAAATTCTGAAAGAAAACTAAATGAAGCAAAAAATTGTTTAATATAAAAGTGTCCTGATGTACATAGTTGTCAGCTTCTTCACTGGTCTTAAAAGATTCTCTTAATATTTCCTACACTATTAGATTGTTTACAGCCAACTGAAAAGCATACTTCCTAAAAAGATCTCACATATATTTCTGATTTTTCATGCAGATTGTCTTTAGTAAAAGAAAATTACTAAATATTTATCAGCAAGAAAAACATTCCACCATGGCATAAGGTTTGAACAGAGCTGTGGTAATATCTCCTAGCTTTCATATTAATTTCTAAAGTTATATAACACTGAGTAATTTTTCACATAGTGCAGTATTAAAAAGCAGGAGAAAGCTTGTTGGGAAAATCAGGAATAAAACAAATTTTAGTTTCAGCTTCTTCATTGTGCTTTTGAAGTCGCAACATCTTCCAGTAAATTAAAACACATGTATGCCAGGTAAACTTTTGAATTTTTTCCTTAAGTAACTTACTAAAATGCAGCCTGCTAATTCTTGAAGAGCTCTAGGAGAAAAGAGTTTAAAATGGTAAAAGAAATCTGCCTCTTCAGCCAGCCTGAGGCATTTGATTCTCTTCCTACCACCACCTGGGCTGTTTGGCAGCTGGCCACACCTGGATCTTTGACACATGCAAGCAACGCCCCTATATCCTAGCCCAGCTTCCATGCCCACTCCCCTGAGAATTGTGCAACAAGGCTTTTGTAACCTGAGGCCTCTCATATCTGAAAAGGATCCAGAGCCAGTGGGTGTTATTGCCATTAGGGTCATGAAGGATTTTCCGCTCTTTACCCCACTCCCATGGGAACTTCAGAAGGAGAAAAATACACTCTAAAGCCAGTGAGGAGAATCCTCAGCAGAACTGCAAAGCAAGCGTCATAGAGCCTTTCCCCATCTTTGCTGCCCTCCAAAGCATGTATCTCACTCTTAAGAGACCCAGCCCACTTTTGAGCCTTCTATTGCTAATTGTGCCCCTACTAAAAGATACGAGTTGTAGGTAGGCCTTGTTATTCCAGCGCACTAGAGAGGGGAGGAGTGATACTAGAAGGGAATTCTTATTAAATAATAGTGTTGATGAAAAAGTGTCAGGTGCTGGTGACAGGACAGACAGGACAGCTAGGAAGATCTTATGCTCAGTGGCCTAAGGACCATCATCCCACAGTGCAAACACAGCTTTCTATGTTTCTCCTCTTCTCTCCACAAACATTTTTCTTCATCACGACAAGCATACAGTTTAGCCTCCATTTTACCTGGGGTTGTGCCACTTCCTCTGCCTGGGAAACAGAATCATAAGCTGAGTCACAAACACACTTGATTGATTGATTTATTGATTGATTGATTGATTGATTTTTGCAAAACCGGGGATTGAACTCAGGCCCTTGTTCTTGCCAGGCAAGTGCTTATTCTACTGAGCTATCTCCCCGGCCCCCACAAACACACTTGAAATTCCCCAAATGCTTTGATGGCCATGCCAGCAGAACTAATGAAGAAGATGTGACTTTCCTCCATCTTGCCAATGGCTTCTTAGTGCTACTAAAATAACTAGAAATGATAGGTTCTATATTTTACTTTACCAATATTTTTTGTTAACTAAAAAGGTCCCAGGAGAGTGAATTTAACCTGTTGACAACTAGAGTTAATTAATTTGTCTCACTTTGCTCGGAAAATTCTATCATTAAGTCACCCAACACATCTAGCTAGTATTTAAACACTAGTATTATCCTTCCAAATATATTTAGAATACAGTAGTACTAAAAGAAGGAGCAGCATTTTATGTTCGGATATGTTCCTTTCTGTGTTAGGAATTGATATGGTTTCACTCCACTCATCAACATGGCACCTCTGGTTACACAAGTGTCCTTTCAAGGAGGCTATTGTCTGTTCTCCTTTCTATCTCCCTTCCCCAAATTCAGTCAGTTTCAATCAAATTTGTAGTTTTTGAAAGCTTATTACACACTTGGAACTGTACCAGGCACTGTGACAATAGCAAAATGAAATACTTGGCATAAACTAGGCTCCTTAAAAGTTAGGAATTTAGTTAAGGATTCCAGATGTACACCTGCAAAGAGTTCAAAGGCAAAGAAGGAACTCATAAACTATGTGAAAAATGTGCACACTGTGGACTTCAAAGTGCCTCAAGGGTTCAGAGTAAAGAACTGGCGAAGGTATTTGGAGTGTTCCTGTGATTGCCCTGGGACCTGGGAGGAATCTTGAAGGAAGAGAAACAGTGTGCAACCTACTAAACCAAACTTACGAAGGAAACTTACGTGACAGCTCTGGCCCTGGAAAGATGATCTTTTTGTTCCTCTCACTGATCACGCTCCCTTTGCTTTCACGACTCTGCCTGCACAGCAAATAAAGGATCTTTTTGTTGGAACATAGAAAACAGGAGTCAAACATGCAAGCACCAAGATGAAATGACCTAAACAGATGGCTGCGGTGAGGTGCTGCGTACTATAGCTAGGGCTGTATCAGAACTTAATTTGCACTCTTGTTTTCCGGGCTAACACCCTATC